AAAAGATTGCCATGCTACCCAAGGTAATCTACAGAGTCAATGCAATCTCTAGCAAAATACCAATGACATTCTTCACAGAAATAGAAAGAAAAACCTTAAAATTTGTATAGAATCACAAAAGACCCCAAATATCTCATGCAATCCTGGGCAAAAATAACAAAGCTGGAGACATCACACTACCAAACTTCAAAATATAGAACAACAGATACAAGGGCCTACTTGAGGGTAGGGGAAGGAACATGAGAATCAAAAAACTACCTATTGAGTGCTATGCCTATTACCTGAGTAGCAAAATAATCTGTACACCAAACCCCCACAACATGCAATTTACCTATATAACAAATCTACACATGTACTCCTGAACCTAAAAGTTAAAAACAATATAAGTATAAAACTACAGTAATCAAACAGCATGGTACTGGCATAAAAATAGAAACAGACAAATGAAACAGAATACAAAAACCCATAAATTCATTCGCGTATCTACAGTCAACTGGTTTTTGACAAAGGCACCAAGAGCACTCACTGGGGAAAGGCCAGTCTCTTCAGTAAATGGTGCTGGGAAAACTGAATATCCATCAGCAGGTGAATGAAACTAGATCCCCACCTCTTGCCCTATACAAAATTCAAAATGGATTGAAGACTTAAATTTAAGACCGGAAACAACAAAACTACTAAAAGAAAAAATAGGCAAAATACTTCAAGAGTTGGTCTGTGAAATCACTTTATGAATAAGATCTCAAAAGCACAGGCAACAAAAGCAAAAATAAACAAATGGGATCATATCAAACTAAAAAAGCTTATGCATAACAAAGGAAACAAAAGAGTGAAAAGAGCCTACAGAAAAAGAGAAAATATTTGCAAACCATTTATTTGAAAGATAATTAATACCCAGAGTATACAAGGAATGCAATCACCTCAAATAGCAAAATAACAATCTTATTTAAAAATGGTCAGATATATCTGCATTATATTTTTAGATCAGGTGGCATGATGCCTGCAGCTTTGGCAGCTTTGTTTTCATTTTTCTGTTGTTTTCTTCATTTTTTATTTATTTATTTATTTATTGCTCAAGATTGCTGTGGTTATTTGCAGTCTTTTGTGGTTCCATACAAGTTTTTGGATTTTTTTCCTATTTCTATGAAAAATAACATTGGAATTATGGCAACTG